ATTATATGTATTAATATCCTGGCTATAATAATAATTATTATTATATGCATATTATTATTATTATTATTATTATTATTATTATTACAAGGTGTGACGGCGCGAGTGGCGCCACCTATGTATAGAACTGTTAGTTGTAAGATTTAAACTGTTGTATCATGCTTAATCCTGCCCCTTTTGCCATGTTTCTGTATATTTGTATGGATTGGTTACTTGTAGCTGTCAATCAGCACTGTTTTGGCTCCACCTCTTCCTGCAAGAGGGGAGAACTTCCTTTTCTTTTCATTCTGCCATGAGAGTTCCTGCAACATGGACGTGAGTAAGAGACTTCATTCTAAAGGACCCTTGCAAGTTACCTCTTAGCACCAATTCTGAGGTTTTTTACCCCTGGGACTCATGCTTTATGTCCAGATCATCCTGGACGGATACTGAGGAGACCCAGGCGCCTTCAAGCCAGTTCTTTTGGCACCAGAGGAAGATCCTGAATCTTCAAAATAGGCCATTTGAATTGGGGTTGTGGTTTTGCTCCGGCACTCACAACCATTGAGGAAGAGGAAACCTGGTGAGGCTTCTCAGCTTCAAACCCCTTGGACCCAGGACTAATAGAGACTGTAAAGTGTGTTTTTCCTTCACCCTTCTAAAGTTTTCCAGTTTATTGCATTGAAGAAATGACTTTGTGACAAATAAAACTTATTTTGAGTTATTTACATCGTTTTGGGTTCTTGGGAGTTCAAGTTTCCTAAAGGAGGGCAAGAAGCAATCCCCTGGGGAAAAGATGCCACGTCCATCCTCCTTTTAAGACTAATAGCCCCCAAGCGCGACGGCACACAAGGGTATAAATACATAATAATAATAATAATAATAATAATAATAATAATAAGCAGGATATAAATACTACTAATCATATTGAGGGAGATATAAATATTGTAATAATAAATGCTAAATCTGGGATAGAAGACATATGGGAGACAATAACATTATATAAATGCATATATTGCTATTAATAATAAGGATATAAATTCATCATAATAATAAGCAGGGTATAAATGCATATAATAATAATTATTATTATAACAAGGATAGAAATACATATAATAATACTAAGCAGTGTATAAATGCATATTATTATTATTATTATTATTATTATTATTATTATTACAAGGATAGAAATACATAATAATAATAATGATAATAATAATAACAAAAATAAGCAGGGTATAAATGCATATAATATATATGTCCAGGTCCTGAATCGGTGCTTGGCCGCTGTGTCGGACTGGATGAGGGTGAACAAATTGAAACTCAATCC